TCTTGATTAAATACATATAATTTGTATTCATTGAATTCGTCACAAAAATTATCGTTAGATTAGTTAACAATATTGATTCATAACTCATTCGTCTAGATAAAATAAAGGCTATATAATTATAGTAATAAATAGATATTTGACTTANATTCGTCTAGATAAAATAAAGGCTATATAATTATAGTAATAAATAGAAATTTGAATTACAATCCATGTGGGTTCGACACTCTTAACTCTATTACTATATTACACAACTTGACACCGTACACTTACGGCGTAAATCACGGTATAGAAAACGCGTGACACTTTCAAATACAAATTAAAATATAATGCCAATTGAAAATGGTGAAGAATTATAACAAAGAAAAGAAATTAGAAAATACAATTTCCTCTGAAATAATCAATATCGTGGGCCCCAAAAATTCATATGAATAAATGACCACATAACAAAAAATAAACAAAACAAATAACCAAAATCTTGAGAGTGAATTTTGAGAAATGGTGTTTATTCCAAAATAAAATGCATCTTCTCCAAAAGTACTCCCTTTTATCTATTTAATATCTTTTGAATCAAATTTATTGATAAATGTGCACGAGGGACTTATGGGGCATTAAGATTTAAGAAGAGTAAATGAGAGTGGATAGGGGGTTTATTTCATCAGGCTCCTCTGAGTGATTATTATTATTTTTTTGAAAGAAGATGAAATAGATTGGGTGGCATGGAGCGGAAAATAAACTTTTAAAGATTTGAGATTGTAGGTAGCATATATAAAAAAATTTAATTTAATTTAATTTTTTAAAAAATAAAAAGTTTGGGTACCAAAATTGCAATTATCTTTTTTAATTTTGGCATTTTTTATTGTTTTAATAGCAACTCTAACAGATATTGACGATAGGGGGATTTTTCGCACAAAATGTTTCAAGGGGGGTAGATATGGAGTATATCGTAAATGGAAATGTTTATAGGGGGTTTCTGTTATTAATCCTTTAAAAATATATTTATTTATTTTAATTATTAATTCGACTCCAATTTAACGTTTTAACCCCTTCCCTTTTCAGATCAATAATATGTTTGATTTTTATAACATTGATACAAAGCACAAATCATGAGTAAGTTTGACTATGTATATGTAGAGTTACACTTTCTATTTTAAAAAGTTAAAAAGTAAGAGTATATTAGAACCTAATTTTAAAGTTTGACTTTTTAAAATAAAATAATATCATTTGAAAGGGTTTCTTGAAAATGCTCTTATTTTACTTCTTAAATTATTTAAATAATATTTGAAGTGATTGATCATCGAGATACAAACAAAATTATGTTAAATAAAATATATTTCTTGAAAAAAGTAAATAAGGATTCAAAATATAGCATTGTTGGAGTGTATAAAAAAAACATATTTTCTAAATGTAACAGTCAGTCTATGAGTACAGAAAAAATGTATAGAATTGATACAGAAATTTGAAATCAACAACACAGATTCAAAGTTGGAAAAAATAGACAGACGCAAATTCACAGGATGCTCAGCATCCTGTAATAATTCTGTAATTATTCCCTGTACTAAGTACATGGAATAATTCTTTCAAGAACAGTCAGTCTACAAGTACAGAAAAAATGTAAAGAATTGATACAGAAATTTGAAATCAACACAACACAGAATCAAAGTTGGAAAAAATGCATACACACACGCACACACACACACAAATTCATAGGATGCTGCCACAGCAGCATCTTGTAATAATTTGGTAATTATTCCCTATACTCAGTGAATAATTCCTTCAAAAACAGTAAGTCTACAAGTACAGAAAAATGTACAGAATTGATACAAAAATTTGAAATCAACAACACAAATTCAAAGTTGGAAAAACATAAACACACACACATAAGCAGCATCCTGTAATAATTCTGTAATTATTCCCTGTACTCAAGGAATAATTCATTCAAGAACAGTCAGTCTACAAGTACAGAAAAAATGTAAAGAATTGATACAGAAATTTGAAATCAACTATACAGACTCAAAGTAGAAAAAAAAACACATACACAAAAATTCACAGGATGCCGCCACATCCTGTAATAATTCTGTAATTATTCCTTGTACTCAGGGAATAATTCCTTCAAGAACAGTCCATCTACAAGTACAGAAAAAATGTACAGATTTGATACCAAAATTTGAAATCAACAACACAAATTGAAAGTTGAGAAAAATACACACACACACACACACACACACAAATTCATAGGATGCCGCTACAGCTGCATCCTGTGATAATTCTGTAATTATTCCCTGTACTCATGGAATAATTCTTTCAAGAATAGTCAGTTTACAAGTACAGAAAAAATGTACAGAATTGATACCAAAATTTGAAATCAACAATACAGATTCAAAGTCGGAAAAAATACACACACACACACACACACACAAGCAGCATCATGTAATAATTCTGTAATTATTCCCTGTACTCAAAAAATAATTCCTTCAAGAACAGTCAGTCTACAAGTACAGAAAAAATGTATAGAATTGATACAGAAATTTGAAATCAACAAAGCAGATTCAAAGTTGGAAAAAAAACACAACACACAAAAATTCACAGGATGCTGCCACATCCTGTAATAATTCCTTCAAGAACAGTCCGTCTACAAGTACAAAAAAAATGTACAGAATTGGTACCAAAATTTGAAATCAACAACACAGATTCAAAGTTGGAAAAAATACACACACACACAAATTCACATGATGCCGCTACAGCAGCATCCTATGATAATTCTGTAATTATTCACTATACTCATGGAATAATTTTTTCAAGAACAGTCAGTCTACAAGTACATAAAAAATGTACAGAATTGATATAGAAATTTGAAATCAACAACACAGATTCAAAGTTGAAAAAAAATACACACCCACAAAAATTCACAAGATGCTGCCATCGTGTAATAATTTTGTAATTATTCCCTGTACTCAGTGAATAATTCCTTCAAGAACAGACAGTCTATAAATCCAGAAAAAGTACAAAATTGATATAGAAATTTCAAATCAACAACACAGATTCAAAGTTGGAAAGAAAAAAAAAGCACACACAAATTCGCAGGATGCTGCCGCATCCTGTGATAATTCTGTAATTATTCCATGTACTCAAGTACAGGGAATAATTCCTTCAAGAATAGTCGGTCTACAAATACAAAAAAAAAATGTACAGAATGATACAGAAATTTGAAATCAACAACACGGATTCAAAGTTGGAAAAAAAATACACACACATACAAATTCACAGGATGTTGCTGCAAATTCACAGGATGCTGCCACAGCAACACCCTGTAATAATTTTGTAATTATTCCCTGTACTGAGGGAATAATTCCTTCAAGAACAGTCAGTCTACAAGTACAGAAAAAATTTACAAAATTGATACCAAAATTTGAGATCAACAACACATATTCAAAGTTGAAAAAAACACACGCACAAAAATGCACAGGAGGAGCATCCTGTTTTAATTCTGTAATTATTCCCAGTACTCAGGGAATAATTCCTTCAAGAATTGTATACAGCCGGACTATAAATCTGGTTGGAAAGCGAATTTTTACCTAAAGTCTTCCTAATTAAAGGCCAGACTTACTTCATCTCGATACATTGCATATTTCAACCCATAAAGCTTATCAATATGAAATTGCAAGAAGACTCGCCTATAATACTCACATTCACGTGGGTACAATCCTGCATTGCAATCTAACGTATTTGCCAAATGCCTTGTTCTTTTCTCAAATTATGGTTCATTCGATACATCTTCAATAGCAAAAGAGGATTTTTGCTCCATCCTAACCATAGTGGATTGCTAACAAAATAATGTGCTAAGCTACACATATCACTTTCTATGGGCATTTGTGCTCATTGCTGGCCATGATAGAGATGTTCGAGCAATGACGCTGGACGGATAGGGTCACATCGGCTCTAATTAAGCTATATGTACATTGTCCTCGACATTCCCCCTATGTTTTAAAATTTTGCAAGTGATGTGATAGGATATTGTAGAAATCAATGGCTATGATAGTTGTTATGTGAAAGAGTGACAAATCTAATGTAAATGAGAATGTACATGTAGCATGATTTCGCATGTTCATGTAACAAAACTCATGTTCGAGCACGGTATTAGTTTGAGACCTACTTAGAAGTACTACAATAGCATATTGACCCCATAATGTACAATGATGGTATTTTACTGGCGGACATCCCATGACCTGATGATCGCAAAGCTTAGTCGCAAGGGAAAAAAGTGCCATAGTTGGCATCATAATGGGGACAAGCCAATCTCCACCAAACACTCGTTGATGTTTCTATGTAGGCTTGTGTGAATGCAAAATGATTATAATCTTTAGAGTAAAATTCACAGGACAGTACCTCGTTGATAAGGACAGAAAGTTGCTTTAGTAGTCACAACTTGCAAAGACAATTTTATTTGTTTTATTTTGAGAAAAATCGTGTTTTTCCGAAGATTAGTTGTCTCACCAAAGTTCGAAATTATAATTTGAAAAAATAAATAAAAATTATATACGATATATTTAGTAATTCATCAAATTAAAATTTATTTTATTTGAGGCTAATGATATTATTATTTTAGCATCATCAAGGATGACAAGGAATATCTTAGCTCATAAGTAATATTAAGTATTTTAGCACTTCGATTTTAACATCTTCAAGCAGGCATTCTATGAACCTGAGCTTGAACTACTTTGGAAAATTATTCCAGCACCTGAAGAGAATCAATAAAATTGAAATTTTCATAAACAAAGACGAGACAAGAAAAGCATCACTGATCTATAATTACAATAAATCCCAGCTGCCAATTTACCAGAGAAACATTTGGACACATAAAGATGGAAATATCAAAAGACTATACAAAAGAGAAGATTTTTTTTTTTTCTTTTGTTATAAAGGGCACGACACTAATTACAATTCTCAACATCAAAATATCTTCATTTCCATTACCAAACTGGGAAAAAGCAATCGTGTTTCAATCAATCTGTCCTTTCCTCTCTCAAGTATGAGCAACAGTCATCTGAGGTAGATGGACCACAGCCGGCAGGCTTCTCACTTTGATCAACCAAATAATCTCTACCAACACATCGATTGCTATTGTTACTTCCTGTGGATTTGTCAGTAAATGAAACCATACCCATAGCCGTCATGCAGTTTGCTATAGCATCTACATCTCTGCTATAAAGACCTCGGCTTCCAACAGCAGGCAAGTTCTGCTTATCATCACTGCTGGTAAGGACCGGATTTAATACGTCAAGCAGATGTGGGTTGGGTTGATTGGAGCTGTTGATGAGAAATCGAAGTGTCTCCCTAGCACCTTTTTCTAGCATTGATTCAGCATCGGGAATCTGGGGGTCCATGAGATTCGGGTTTAGAGGTGAAACAGATGTTGACATCGCCGGACCTGCGCTGACCAAGTACCCTTGGCCAGAGGAGCAAACACCTATAACTGGAATATGAACAATGGGGTCACAGATTAATGGTGTATAGGTTAAGATCTGTTGAGAAGTTGGCATTGTCAATGGCAACCTCGCCAAAGGCTCTGCCAAGCGAGGAGGAAAATCCACGGGGGGTACCTCGGCCAGATTAAGGGAGGGTTTTGACGCCAAAAGACTGGATGGCCTTGCAGTTGATAGCTGAGATGACAGTGGGGGTAGAGATAGTGATTCAATTGATGAAATAGGCAGCTGTGAAGTTCCAATAGTGCATCGCGTACTCGATGCAGCCGGAGGACAAAAGCAATAGTGGGGAGAGAAACGAGATAAACCCAAGGAAGTAACTTGAATTCCCGGGCCAGAAAAGGGAAGTTCTGCGGATTTCATGAGTACATCCAAAAAACTCAATGAAGGAAACTGGTGAATTTCAGTTGCTTCAGAAAACTTGTCCTTCTCAAAGCAATTTGAACTAGACCGAGCTGCACTACTTGCAGAAGCAATGTCTGAGCTCTCAACACATGAAACATAGCTTTCTCCACGTCGCCTCATTTTTTCTCTGGCAATACTTCTCAATGAAGACAAGCTTCTTGGCAAACCCTCTTTAAAGGAACTTGACCTAGGACTGAGGCTACCCTGATACACTGGGTTCGTCTTTGCTCCTTGACTGCCATAGTGCCGAAAACGTGAAGTTTTCATAGTTGTGAATGAAGACTGAGGATAATGAAATTCAGAAGAATCATTCGAATCATCTAGAGAAGTGCTAGCAAACACAAAACAGTTACTAGATTTTGCAGTAGACACCATTGATCCAGCAAGATAAGCTTGAAGGTAAATTGCAAAGCAGTTGAGGCGTGACTCGCTAATTCCAGTTAATTCAGCCAGTGAAGGTTTTCTCAAAATTATATCCTTCATCTACATCGGGATAGAAAATCAAGGCATTAGGGAATAACATAAACAGCAAACACAAATGCAAATTCAAGTGGAATAATTTGTGTATTGTACCTTTTGGAGCAATTCATTTCCGAGAAGCTGAGATTTTTCAGAGCACCAAAAATAAAAAGTTTCACCACCTGGGATCTTTATTAAGAAAGATCGTCCTGACTTGTCTGCTGAGATTTCTTCAATTTCTACAGCAGAGCATTGAGTCTCAGTGCTCAATGTTGCTAGCCTCTCTACACAACCATCATCACCGGTGAATGAGATGCACAATTCAGAAGTTTGCAAAAGCATGAGAGTCAAGTTCCCTCTGGTGAAATTACAAACAAAGAAGGTTCAGAAAGCCACATTCAGACTAAATAAACCAGAATAAATCCAAGCAAGGAAAATAATGTAATGCATGGCTCAGTGGAATGATACAAACAAAATAATGACGACTAGAATGATAGCCTATACATACAAATTTCAAAAGATGGCTCATACTAAACACCATGTTTCAGATAATTCCTAAAGTTTTTACCTATTCCTCATTTATTTTTACTAATAAAAAATGATTGACCGATTTAAAGTCAGGTGGAATTAGGAAAGGGAATCAATATACAAGATAACCAATCGCCCAAAAACTGTTGGCCTGATAAAAAATTTAACTTCAGACATATATTATCTAACCTTGCATAGTATTAGATCCCCTTCACCCTGAATCTCCCAAAACTTTACTGGGTCCAGTGGGCTATATTTCTTATTGGTGATTTATATTGTACCTGGGTTTTCCTCCCAAATATAGTCTCAAAACAGCTAGAGAACTCTCCTCTTTACAAGGTTAAAATTAGGAAAAATCTAACAAAAGGGAGGGGTGATATTAGAGCCAACCACCTAATATCCCAAAGGAACATCAATGATATGTATTAAGATGCCAGATAATCTAAGACATTTTTAGAGGAACTTCTGTTTATTAAACAAACAAGTAGCGTTTTGATAGGACTCTATTCTATCATGGTTAAAATAGGGAGGAGAGTGGGTATTGTACAAAATACAGCATCACACCAGTTATATATAGGGGGCAGGGGGCCATTGTATTCCTTCTTATTCAGGCAGAAATTGGGGTTTGAAATTGGAGAGAGATGGACCTCTCTAATGCTCATCAAAACTTGTAATTCAATTACATTCTTTCATTCAATAATACAAATTCAGGTGCCTATCATTTGGTATCAAAGCTATAAAGAATGGAATCCTATCAATTACTCCACCCCTGAAATTCTCCTTGCCCTAAATATGGAAATCCGAGACAATTCCAGAACTCCGCACAACCGAACAATTTCCTTTGCCAACAGCCACGGTCAAAACAGAAAAGGGATATTTCAGCCCGAAGGAGTGGATATACTCACCCAATCCAGTTACCACCGCTAGTATCTTGTCCATGAAAATCCCATAACCAGTAGCCCACCATGGAATTCCAAAATTCTGAACCTGGTCTAGTATCTTGTCCATGAAAATCCCATAACCAGTAGCCCACCATGGAATTCCAAAATTCTGAACCTGGTCTAACTGGATAAAACTGTCGGTAACACCGCTGTCCACCAAAATGATTACATACTGTTGCACAATCTGCCTCTAAACGCTCGTTGAATTTGTAGCAGTTACCAAAACCATGGAATTTATTGAAAGCTCAACCTGAGTCCTCTACCCTCGTAGTTTCTTTCCTGTTGTTGGATTCTTTCGCTTTGTCCCCTATTCCCTCTATGTCATCCCTAATCACCAAATCTCCAACCCCTTATTTTTTCCATGATACCCAATAGAGTTTTTCTCATCACATCTAAAACACAATCCTTCATCCATCTTGGCCTGGAGCTCAGCATAGGTCTATTGCCAGGACTGTGGGGGAGTTGTGTGTGATCACAATTTTTGCAAAGGTGGGCGAGTCAGATTCCTTCATAGACACGATTGAAGGGAGCTGGGTGTACTGGATGGGCGTAAGCCCCAGATGGGCTACTGACGAGAATTGGGCATAATCTACCTTGGGCTTTTTTAATGGTAAGTTGTGGTTCTCAACCCCATTGGCTACCTGTGTAATTTGGCGCAACTCCACTGATTTTCGCACCCAATTTTCAGCCTTAATTCTGAACCCAACCCAATTTCTATCTTCCCTTCCACAGCGTGCCCTGACATCTTCTTCAGCTCAGCAATTTCTTCAAATCTGTCTTCCACCATGTTATCTGGCAATATCTTCAATGGTTCTGCCATTTTCTCAAATTGGCACTGGTCTTCCCTAGAATCAATGCTCTAATAGGAACTCAAATTTGTATTACTGAATGAAAAGACAATGGAATTACAATAGTTTGATGAGCATTCAAGAGGCTCTCTCTCCCAATTTCTTCTTGGATGCAAAGGAATACACTGCCCCCGCCCCCGATATACATCTGGTGTGATGCCTTATTTTATAAAATCCCCCAAATACCCTCCTTCCTATTTTAACTATAATAGAATGGAATCCTATCACGTTTCTAAACAGCATCACTGCATAGAAAATTTGGTAAGCCTTAGCCTTTTCGTGCCCCTACCTGCATTTCTATCTAACGCAACAAAATAAACAAGAGGCTAAGAAGTATTTCACGTTCTGCCCATCACATAATTTATATAATATTAAAATGTTTGAAATAAATCCTTTTTTTGTTCATTTATCCACATTAAAAGTGCCAGAATGAATGAAAGAAAGGAAAAGAAAGTCTTATAGAGTTCTCACCTCTATTCGGGATTGATTATTAGTAACTTCTTTTCAGGTGGAATACCAATAGGGACCACAAAACGGGTGGATAATAATGAATAGTAATTTTGAATGTGGGCTGAGATTAAAGTTTGAGTTTGATCGGATAGAAAAAGTAGAACTTAAACAAAGGGGATGAAAGCCAAAAATAGGCCATATCTTCAAAAACGTGTTTAACAATGTAAAAAGCACTCATGGAAGTTAATCACATACTAGTCAACATATATAGCAAGCGTCTTCGAGTAATGAGCATCAAAAGAACAACAAAAAATTGAATGGTAATAAGTTAAACAAATAAAAAATCATAGCAAGTACAGAACAATTAGAAAGACATTGATTTCGTAAACAAGTTATATAACTTAAGAAAAATAAAATATGAGATGAAATATTAAATAGGAACATGAAGCTACCTTTACTTAATTCAGAGATCATAATAATAAACGCCAATTTACCTACAAGTCAAGAGATATTTTCACTTGGAAAGGTAAATATTGACCATGAACAAGCTAAATGTACCACCATTTAGAATCTAGGAATAATTGACGATATTAGCAAATATAAGGCTTAATCCATCTTCAAATCATCAGATTAGTGCCACTCATAATAAATACTTCTTGAAAAAATACAACATTAATACAGGTAACAGATAAATGATATAAACTTATTAAACAGTAAATGGACATAACTTAATGTAAAATATGGAGCCGTGACACTATAATACCGAAACAAGTAATTCGCTCAGTTCCCATTCTCATGGTTATCAATAAGAGAGGTCTCTACGATCTCCATTCATTAGCAATGTGACAAACATATTTATCACACCAACCTTCCTGATGTCTCCACATGTCAATGGCACCTCCTAGCTATGTACTGCCATATCAAGAAAGGTCTAAGACGAGGTCCAGCATGTAGTGCAATCAAAAGATGATGGTTAAGACATGTCTGCAATTCACGTACAAGACACTAAAAGTGAACCCTAAACAAGTTTAGGGATCAGAAATGATAATATAACTCTCCACTACTATGAGACATTCAGAAGGAAAAAGAAACTCTGGATAAAACAACTGATGAAGGGAGAGAAAGAAAGAATATTGAGGGAAAATAACAACATATATTTTCTTGGGAAAGGTTTAACTCCAATAATGATAACATCAATGTCCATAGGCATCCATATAGAAATGGCATGCAGCAGGAAAAAATGCAGGCAAATAAAGAAAGTTGGTAGCCTAGAGAAAAGGTGTACAATGGACTCCCAAAAATGACATTTATCAAAAACGTTGAGATAGTACGCAAATAAATGGAAGAAAACAACAATCAAGCATCAAACCACCTGCAGGTATGCGACAACCAAATATACACTTATACATAAGGTACATACAAATAACTGTCTAAACAGGATTCCACAACATGAAGGATAAAGAATTAGTCACTGTAATTCATCTGGGTAGGGAACGGTCAGTTCACAAAAATGTATGTTTTCCAGACAAACACGCAGAGAGGACATAAAAGAGGAGAAGGAAAGAAAAGAGAAAGGGTCAACAGAGAAAGCAGAGGCTTGTGATACAAACTGAAATAAGTTCGCACTAATGGATGTCATTTGGCGAAAATCTAAGTTGCCTTTTCTTCTGAATTTCCATTCCACCAGACACCTCATCAACTCTAGTGAACTAGGGTTGATTAGCGTCTAACGTTTGTTCTTTGGGGATCGGTATATTCAGAGTGTCTCAGTTAATAACGACCAAGTTAAAAAAAAATCAAAATGAATATAAAGGTTTATAGAATTTAATTAACCCAAAAGAGAAATTTGAATTAATCATATCAAGTAATTGCTTTGTTTTACTGACCTTTCACTTGGTGTTTACAGATGATAAGTAAAAACTAGCTTATTATCAACAAACCAAAGGAATTTACCGAGGAATAATTCATTTCAATAGCTTCTTAGGAAGATAACAAACAAAGAAACCAACAGTTGAAAGCACCCGACCTAGCCACCTAGCATATTACCCAACTTAAATGCACGTATACATATTATCTTTGGCCAAGTACGTAATTATCGCAACTCCAACCCCCCTCCCCTAACAATCACATGAAGGATGACATGATGAGGTTACTATACAGATAGACAACCATACAAACGTGTAATACAATTCATGAGATTGAAACTACCTTGCAGATGTTGGACACAAGAGGGTTCCTTTCTTGTTGCTCTCTCCCACACGGATAGTAACTAGAGGTAAGCACAATGATCTAGCTAACACGCCAACTTCTGATGGCTCAAAGTGCTGTTCCAGAAATTTAAGTAAGACATCAATAGAGATAAAATCAGAAAAATAATGTAATATACAAGCAGTTTTATAATTATATGAGAAGTACTCGTATCAACCAAACAGTTAAAATGGCCAAATCAAATAGGAGATTTTGCTAGTCAAGAAACTTAACAAATAAAACAAACCAAGCACAGTTCCTGTAAAGAATCTTAAGAATATAAGGACAGATGATACAACTTAGGAAACGATTAACCAGCTTTAAGCATATAATTGCTTACCCATAGCAAAGAATACAAACTTAAGCAAACACCTCACAAATTGATCTCAATTAAATAGGAAGATTTACGGACAAAACAACGTCTGTAGAGGATTGGAATAGAATAATTTCCCTTCCAATTTGAAATTAACTTTCTCCAACTCTAAACTAAAAACCAATACACTTAGCAGTTTTCATTTGATTATACTTACCTGGCTAAGGTGAGCCAGCAGACGATCCTCAGCTGCGCCATTAGATACATTGAGCTTCAGCAAAGGCTTCAACCTCTCGTCCGCACGGCAGGCACCCATTACATGCTTATCTGGAGACAGAAGCCAATGCAAAACTCCATCCTCCCGATCTTCCCCATCCTCCACTCGAACTTCTCTCGACCTCCCTCTTACCGAAGGATTCCCAGCCGCCGAGGCCTCATCAACGCTCTGGCTTGATGATGCCTCGTCGCTAGAATTCTGATCCAAGTTATCAACATCGTCAATTTGGCATTCATCAGCGAATAATTGTTTCTCCGAGTTTGCCATTTTTCAATTCTCAAATTGAATTTAGACTGTTTGTGACGATATCTCAGAACGCTATTAAGGAACCCTGGATTATCCCCAGCCTCAAAATTCACAATCAAATATTTACAAATCCCGTCAATCTAAGTCTTGAATTGAATCTCATATATTCACGAAAAATTGTACAAAGAGCTCTTGTCAACAACAAAGAGCAGTAGCAACAAAATTGAAATGATAAAGGGAAGACGAACAGGGAAGCCCTACGGACTTAAAATATTATTAACAATCTTAATATTCGCTTGAAGTCCGAAACAACCGACAAACGACACAATCTAGGTTTGTCAGATTTTTGGCGCTATTGGTCCCATAACATGTTATTGTAGGCCCATTGATTGATTGGACTACACGTCGTCAAACTACGGGTCCCAAGTACACTTCACACTGTCCATAAGATTAGGGCCCTCAATGGATTGAAGTTTGATTCGAATCCGACGAAATTAATGGGAGATGGATTTAGTGTCTCAATCCGATAACTCGATCAAGATCCGAATCCGATAATCCGTTAATTAAATGGATCAAATATGGATATAAGTCAATCCGATCCGATAACAATCTGATCCGATTTGTTATATAAATAATTGAGTCAGTAAAATATTTTTATGCCATATTATTTGTCACTAAAATAAATAAATTTAGAATAAAAAAGTAATCAAATTCAAAACATAAAAATATTGAAAATTTTATAACTATTAAATTTGTTTAAAAATTGGAAAATTTGAAAAAAAAAAAAAAAAA